TGCGTAGCAAATTAAAGAAGACATTGAATTTTCAAATGAAACTTACAAATTATATTGAAGTATTACCGTTTTCTATATTTTTTTTACTTACATTAGCTCTTCAATAGAGAGAAAAGCATTTCTTCTCTCGTAAAATACGTCCAGTATAGGATATACTCGATGTTGAAACGTCCATGGTGATCATTAAATGTCTGGAAGATGCTTTACAGGAAACTATTGAAATGAAATATTATTTATTGACAGTTTTAATAGACGGAAAAAATTTGATGACTTTAGCAATTACATTTCAAAATGTGTCGTTTTTGTTGTGTATAATTGAAACAAAAACATTAATTTTTTTTTAAATAAGAATTTATGTTATATAAAGGATATTTTATAAAATTTGTTTAGTAATGTTAGTGAAATTTTTATTTTTATATTTTATAAATGTTTTATCTGTATATAAATATATATTTACATATATATCTATTTTTCAAATGTACATGTATATAGACAAGATTGATGAACAAAGATATGGAATTGACGTCATAAGAACGCGGAACCAGTTTATTTATTTCACGTTTATAGATTAGTTCGATAGCCTGAAAGAACGTCGATACCGTCCGTTATCGTCCGTTATTGCTTCGGAAACGAAGTTGAATACCTCCTCTCGCTCTATATTCTCAACTATTCTTCGATAGTTCCTTTAAAGTTCCGAATAGGCTTCCAAATAACTTCCTCCAGACAACCTCCGTTAGAGATGAGCTCTTTGTAAAGCTGTCATAAGAATCTCCGTTCTCATCAAGTGAAATCAGGGATACTCTCGGAAATCAAGAATCAATCGTCATTGCAGACATCTTTTTCACTGTCTGCACGTTTTAACTTATTGTATTTCTTTCGATGCTTCTTGCAAAATAATGCACAGATTATTAAAGTTTGAAAAATATCTTGAATAAGTCTTCGGTTCAATTTATATAAATATATAAATTAAATCTTATAATAACAGCAGCAATTTTTAATAATATTACTCAGTAAACTGGAAATAGATTTATCTCAGCGAAAACATTAAAAATTGAATAATTTTATTAAAATAATTAAGAAAATTGATTTTAAAATGCAAAAATATGAAAAAAATATTTGTCTATTAGTCACGATATGAGATACAGCTTAGAATAAGTTTTCACATTACTCGTTTGTATTATGCACATTTTGTGGCTACAAGAAAAGGAAACACGCGATGTTGCGGCAATACAAAGTGATGCGTGTAATCACGGCGTCGTTGAGAAATGGCCGACTAGCGGAAACATCTGGCGCTTTGAAGCGGAAAACGGGCAAATCTTCCCTCATTTTTCTCATCTCTACTTGAGACGATGCGCTTTCTAGTTAGCGTTTTCTTGCCACGAACATCGTAGATTTTCGAGTTTATTTTCACACCGGATAAATATGAGAAATGGAGGAATAATTAAGCGTACAAAAGCGGACAAAAGAAATTCGTGACTTGCGCGATACAACTTTGCGACTTTCTTGAATTTCGTCTCCATTTGTGTCCATATTACGCAAATAGTTTTCCGAGCAGGACCAGTAATGGAGAACTTCACGATGGACTCGCTCTTAAGTTCCTGAGTTTTTGTTGGGTAAAGTCGCCGCACTTCGTCTTATCGCCGCGGCAGCAACTACTCAAAGACTTAAAGTGGGTCAACGAGTTCGAATTTTCGAAATTTTCTTTCTCGCTCCTTTTCAACCTTATTTGTCACGCTAAGATTTTAAAAACCTTTAATCGAGCCGTCATAGTTTTCAAATTATCGAAAGCCGGATGCTCGTGTGAACCCGCGGGCGGCTGATTTCGCATTTTCCGCACGCGGAGCTACTTGGATGACTCGTTCGGAATTTTCAAAATGGTCTGGCAATCGGGTTGTTTGCATCTCGTTTGCACCTGGCGAATAAGAAAGTTTCGGAAATTCTCGGCGGGCGCCCGCTTCGCTTCAGATCTGAAGTTTTTTCGATAACTCGAAAATTATGGGTACCCAATGGTCGTTTCTCCACATCTGGCCGGCGGAAACGACGTGTAAAGCCAAACTTCTGTGGAATCGAAGATTCTGGATAGAAGTCGACCGGTTATATATTTTCACAGAAACTAGTGGAAACGGCGAGGATACATAACGTATATGTATAAGAAACAAAAAAGTAAAAAAACAAAAATTTTGTTAGATTTATAAAATTATTGTGATTAAAAGTTTCTTTAATTGTCGAGAAAATAATTATTCATTAATCATTTGTGAGAAAACTAGACGTGAACTTATTTAAAAACGTTTTATTCTGTTAAAATTTATTTCGAAGCTTTTCTGCGCTAGTAACCAATTTTCAATTTGTCGAAATCCGTTTTCCTCCACGTTTAATACGTGCCATTCATGGTTACCTATATCATAAGAAAGGAAAGCTTAAAGCCTGCAGCAATACGGATTGGTATATATAATCACGACCCGTTGAAAAATAGCCAAGCGGCAGAAGCATATGGCGCTCCAGAATCGAAGAACACAGCTTTCCTCCACTTTTCTTTTTGATTTCCTCGTCAGCTGGCGCGGAGTATAATAATATTTTTGGTTCGAAGATCGTTACTTCTCTTAAGCCGTATGCTCGAACATTTCTGATATCTGAAGAAATACGCTCGTCCTTCATCGACTTTAAAGCACTCCGTGAAGTAAGTAAAATATTTACGAATCAGAATGCTTCTCAAATGTGCGCACATACAAATTATGTCTGGTACAAATTGTACTAAAAATATCTTTTTCTCTCTTTCTCTCGCGCACACTTGTTTCATTAACATAAAATTAATTATAAGATAAGCAAAATTTAGGTCCAAGAGAAATTTATCTGGTTTCCAAATTGTTTAATTTTTTAATGTTATGTAATTCCGCATTTAACATATTACAAATTTTTACTAAAAAAATTTGAAAATAATCTTTTAATGAAAAATTTTATAAAAGGAAACATACAGTTTCTTTTTCGCGATATGTAAACATAGCATGATACTATTTATCTCGCAAGAAACCGATCTTTTATATTATATCTTTTATGTGAGTTCAACGAGATCATATATCTGTACCTTATTACATAATTTGTCGCCTATGAAAAAAACATGAATCTATGGTAGTAAGTACAGAACGATGCGCGTAATCACGGCAACATTGAGAAATGGTCGAGTAGTAGTAGCATCTGGCAGACCGGACCGGGCCAGGAAGCAAGAGAGAAGCCTCTTCTGGTTTTCTTGTTGATTTCCTCATCGTCCCGCGTGAACAAGAATAATGCTCTCGGCCCAGCACCGGACCCGATACCAGATGCCGGCTCACGAAGATCGATACACGCCGTTGTTATTGCGTCCGGAAACGAGTATCGTTTATCTGAAAAAGGAGCGAGGAGGAAGTGACGGCGACAGCAGCAGTAGCGATTCCTATTCCGAATCTCGAGATTCGAAATTACCAATGTAACCGAGATAGTAAAATTGTCAGCGTATATATATAGAGAGATATATATAGATATATATATATATATATATATATATATATATATATATATATATATAGAGAGAGAGAGAGAGAGAGAGAGAGAGAGAGAGAGAGAGAGAGAGAGAGAGAGAGAGAGAGAGAG